AGCAGAAAAGTATAAAAAAAGAGATATAAAAAGTAAAGCTATATTAATATGTTGAGCTATAAAAGGCTCAAGTCAACAACTTCTGACATTGCCAGTCCTATGGGTAACCCACTACTATTATGGACTTCTGGACTATATTGGATTATTTTGCTGAATTCATGAACCTACAATATATAAAGGACAATGGAATAACCTTTTCTGACAAAACTAAACAAAGAAGTGGGATAGAAATGAATGACTATTTTGTATTGGTATAATCAAAATATTTAAGATAGATACACAGATCCATTCTCTTAATTCAATGAATAGAGAGGTTTATTCTAATAGTGTCTGAGACAGGATATCATGTCTTCATCTTCCACAATGAATAACCACTAAGACAATATGCAATGTATTAATTATTGAAAATGTGTTTGTAATTTGTTGTAAAACTGTCTCATTGCTATTTGTTTCTCAATAAAATTATTTAAAAAATAAAAAAAGAATTGTTTTGTAGTCTGAGGAGCAGGTTTTGGTACAAACACAAAAATTATATATATGTATGTGTACAGACCAAATATCACACACACACACACGCACACACGCACACACACGCACACACACACACCCCCTTACAAACATGTCCACATGCTTAGCCATGTTGCTCATGCATCATGAATAGCATAGGAGCACGGTGCATGTGTGTGACAGATATTTGCATGTACTTCACTGTAAATTGCCCTTGATTCTCCTGTGTTTGTTAATCATGGTTTTGGGCATGGATCGACATCCTGACACCACGGGCAAAACACAGCACATGACCATAGCCTGCCACTGTACTTCACCATGTGAAGCACAGAAAACCCATATTTATGAAGATCAAGTGGAACGTGGATGGTCACTGCGCTGCTGAACCTGCATCCTCACGCTAAGGTGTATCTCACTGGAGACTCAAAAGCTGAAACAAATACGTTTGCTCATTTGTTGTACTCTACCGCAACCTGTGTCACTCAGCATGAACTGTGTTTTAGGGTGAAAATTTTATACACTGACGGTCATTACGGCTTAGAGATTCAGTCTT